CCCCTCCCACGACCTAAATGGGCATATTTTAAAGGAGTGCTTAGCCTTCCATGCGAAATCTCTTGATGAGGGGACTGAATGGCTGGACTTTGCTACTGTTGCCTGTCGAAGGGACACACGGCCAGTGACTGTGAGGAGAACATAGAGTGCAGCATATGCAAGGACAAACGTCATGCAGCTCTCCTTCACAGAGAGAAAACAAGGCCCCCTACCCAAAGTGGAGAAGCCATTGACTCAAAATGCACATCGATGTGTCATGCTATGGAAGGCGGTGTCTCATGTAGCAAACTACTTTGGGTCAACGTGTTCAGTAAGGAAAAGCCGCACGCAGTCCATCGAGTGTACGCCATTATAGAACAAAGCAATTCGTCCCTGATCAGCACTGAGCTTGCAGATTAATTGGGAGCAAACGGACCTGAAGAAAAGTACTTTCTTACCACATGCAGTGGCACAAAGGAGACCAAATACGAATGGTGCATGAGAGATGTCATTGTTCAATCCATCAGCGGGGCGGCGGCAGACCTGCCCACTCTCATCAAGTGCGTGATTTGCATTCAAACAAAGCACAAGCAATAAATTAATTAGCATAACTATACGTGACATTCTTTAGCCATGAGATGATATGATAGTTGCATTTTTCCCATTATAGGACAAGCACAAACAATTAATGGAAAGAGAATAAGATTACTTCAAGTAAACAACTCAATTGGCTGCATATCATGCAGGAAAAAAGTTGTTCCAAACAAAGACAATCAACTCATTCCATCTTAGTTATCCAGCATAACTATAATTAACATTATTTGTTAAGCCATGAAATGATATAATAGTTGTATTTTCCCATTATATGTTAACCATAACTTTGTTTTTGTTTCATTAAAAATTTTGCCTTGACCTACAATCAGTTATTACCCAAGTATATTAAACTTCTGTATAATTATGTAGATTACTATGCTAAAATCCAGACTATTTTGAGCCATTTTTACCTATCATAGTTAAGTTGTAATTACAATTACAGTTACAGTTTAAGATACCACTATACCATTGCCATTTTACTGTTATAGCTTAGGATACCAATATACTGCTGTTTCGCAACAAATTTCCCTTAACCTTCAATTAATTACAACACTGATCTATTATGCTATTTTTGGAATTTAACAAAATGTCATTTTACAACTTCAGGAATAAATTGTGTTACAAATGATTTCCCCTTTCCTTCTGTATTTTCTTGCATGTTTCTTTTCATTATGAAAAAGTTGGAAGACCCTTTCACACCCAATCCCCAACACTGTCCCTGTCCAATCAAACACACCCCATAATCTCTGATTACTACCAGTTTTAATTCTTTTCAGGTTTTTCAGTCAAGGAGTTTTTTGAAGCACATACAACACTGTAAAATTTAAGATATTAAATTTAAGATACTAAACCCTAAGCTATTTAAAAAATCACTTTCCAAACATTTTCCAATTTTTTCTCAAACAAATTAATCTTATTAGAATTGAAAGAGATGTTTCTTTCTGTTTAATATCTCTTTTTCAAAATTATTTTAAAGTGTCTAAGGTTCGGATTAATAATTTTTTGTTTAAAGGTCCAAATTAAAAATTTTTCCTAAATTATTATATAGTTGTCAAGATCACTGGTCTCTCATGAAGTAGTCATGACCACATGTAGATTTCAACGGTTATCTTGTGAATTAAATCTGCAATGCTCCTTCTTTCGATCTTCATCAGTCGAACCCACTAACAGATTATGGCCACGACAAGAACCTGTAATCCCTCAACTGATGTATCCCAAACATCATTTCTGTATTTTTTTTATGACCAAACATTTTTTTATTTTTCTTGGTGGATTAAAGTATCAGCATTAAGCAAAAAAGAGGAAAATCATTCATCGCTTCATATATTTCAGACCCAGCTTTGGTATAAAGCATAATGCAAACGACTATTAAGAATAATTACCATGAAAGATGCAGTAATTAAACTAGTTGTAAGTTGCTTTTAGAAGACATAAAAACAAAATGGTTGTCACAATTAATCTCGACAGAAGGTGTCGTAATTCTTCACGAATCCCTGATCTTCTTTCAGTGGTTGATTTGGGATAAAATTGTACTTAACCTACTTCACACAGGGCTTGTTCGAGTACTTCCCTTAGTATGCTTAGGAATAAAACAAAAACTGTTTAACATTAACCACAACACCAACAGACCAAGCCACACCATGCCCTGTGAATTAAAATCTCAACAATTAAATATGAATGGTGCATCTATATCCAATCATTTTCATATTTCTCAAGGACAGAAAGGAACAAGTACTACAAACATAAAATTAAAGCAAGAGTGAACCCAAACAAGTGCTGTTCCCTTATCATTGATGGCATGGACCAAGCAAAACACAACTTGCCACATTTTAATACAAGTACAAAGGTAAAATCAATCCAACTTGTACATTGTTTCGTTGAAATTGTAACTACGTCACAGTCAATTAATGAACTTAATTACTTTCCTAATTGTGATACACTTCAAGCAAGACAACCATTTGGTAACTATTCTGTTTTGTTATATTTATATTTTACTGTAATTATTTTTCTGATATGCTTACTATGTGTAACTTATAGATTTCGAACAACGCTAACGAAGAATAAACAGCAGTTTGAAACTCATGGTTTTGGATGCGTATCACAACAAAACATACATGTATTGAATATAATATTGGAATGTTTCCGAATTTTAAACGCTTCAGTTATAGGGTCTTCATTGCGAAAAAAGTTGACATTGAGAAAACATAGATGTCGGGTTGTTCCGCACAAACATCAACGTTGCACTAGATCACATTGACACAACTCTCACCGTACTAGCATGTACTTGCATAAGGATTTGGCTGACGCTACAAGGTGTGAACATCAATTCATCATTAGATGTTTCGACATAATTGCATTTCATTGTTACACATTCTCATCAGGTAGACGAAGGTGCATGGAAATTAAAAACGCATCTCACAGGTGTTCTTGTCAACCAGAAACAAGAAGCCCATGCGTTTCTTGATTTATGCGAGTACCCCCATGATTCTAATTTGACCATCAACATCATGCTGGAGACTCTGTTGCACATTAAGAGATCGGTAAGTTTAGCCAATGGACCACAAGTTACCTTTACCCAGAGCCTAACATTAGTGTGCATATTGTTTTTGCCCCTTACTACGTAAAAGAAAGAGATTCCATTTTGCCGTGCATCTCTTTCGTAATGAATCACAGAGGACGTCACCATGTGGTAAAGACATCACACTCTCGGCTGCACCGTGTGCGCCACATTGACTTTTTACTGCATTTGGACGTTATCAGCAATATATTACTGAACAGGGTCACTGCAAATTGGATGATGAATTGACAAAATTACAATACATAACATTAAAGAAAAGCTAAAAACTATTATAGTTCCAAATAGAATGTGTTGCAGTGTTTCGCCCAATACCTCCTTGTTGATCATTTTTCAATTCATTTTTTCGCTACTCTTCCCCCTGTCCTTACCTCCAGATGGACAACTATTGGAGGGAGCACAAAAATCGTTGTCTTAAGTTTTCTGAGTTTATTGGTAGAGGGGAAAATTTTTGAGAAGGTGAAAGATCAAATCAGGCAAAATTGTCTTATCTCTCAATAAATAATTTCAGCAATAGCTAGAGATGAGTCACAGCAGAACTGGGGTTAAAAAAATAAATCACATGTTTTACTTTTAGACAGATCAAAATATCTTTCTTGGTGGTTGGTCATACACATGAAAACATTGATCAGATGTTTTCATGTGTAGCAAGAAGACTTGCCAAGAACGATGCCCATACGTTAGAGGTACTGACGGATCAGATTGAAATATCATACCCCCCTTCTGTATTAGTGGAGGAATTGTCATCTGTATTCAAGGTCAAAGCGTGGATGGAGAACTCTATGAATAACACATCAGGCCACATCCACTAACACGTTTTCAAGATCCAAAACGACAACCGTAACTCCAAGCTGTTTTACAAGAAGTGGTCCACCTCACCTGTCTGGCTGCCTGATGGTGGAATACGTCTCATCTCGACCATATCAAGAGGAGGTCCCAAGCTTGTCAAACCAAACACTTTCGATGGCATGTCCCTTGACAGGCTTGAAATGGACCTCCCAAAATACGCCATGAAATTGCAAGACTCAAAAATGGTACAGCGGAGAGAGTTCATGATGAGATAGAGGAATCGCCATCGGCAGCCAGACAGAGCTCAAAAATAGGACTTGGATGCCCTGGCAAATACTGTTAGATAAGTTGCCACAGTGCAGTCTACTTCTGTGGAGTTGAGTAGACTTGTATCAAGAGAAGAAAGAGAAGTCGAGGTAACTATAACCACTCAACGATAACAAAGAATAAACACCCAGGGCACCTCTTGTGGCTTTGATAATAACGAATGTTTTTCTTAAAAATGATGTGAACATTACCAGGTTATAATCATTACCCTCTGCTACTACACAAACAGATTATTGTCAGCAAGAAAAGAAAGAAAGTGGGTGGAAAAGCGGGTGGAAAAGCAGGAGAAGGATGAGTCAAAACAAAGTGGACAAAAAATAGGTAAGCATTACTAAATTATTGGATTTGTAGCCAGATTTTCTAGAATACATCGGAAGAGAATTGTAGTCACTTTTTGTGTAGATTAATTGTGACGACCATTTTGTTATGTCTGCTAAAAGACTAGTTTAATTACTGCGTCTTTCACGGTAATTATTCTTAATAGTCGTTTGCATTATGCTCTATGCCAAAGCCATGTCTGAAGTATATTTATTTCATAGGTACTGAGATTTACCCACAAAAATCGTAGTGAATAAAAATCGTTGTGAATAAAGTTCGTACTGATTCTAAATGTAGCCAATCAGGAGTACGAACGACAAAATTTCACCGTGAAAATTTATCGTTCGTTTAATCAGCAACGCGAACGACGAAATTTCACATGCGAGAGCCGTTGCACAAAACCCGCGCGCTTTGAAAA